GCATCTAACCTTTGGTAGTCAGTTTCCAGGGGGTCTAAATAGTAAGGCTAAGAGTCATCCATCAGTAAAAGAATTTTTCCATTTGCACCCTAGCTTGTCTCTTGAGATTGAGTCAAAGGTTGAGATGGAGTCAAAGAACTGCAGAAAAAACAATTACTACCAACCTGCCTTCCATTAAGGACCTGTATACTGCATGAGTCAAAAAGAGGGCTGTGAAAATATTTACAGACCCCTCACATCCTGGACATAAATTGTTTCAACTCCTATCCTCAAAACGACGCTATAGAGCACTGCACACCAGAACAACTAGACATAAGGACAGTTTTTTCCCAAACACCATCATTCTGCTAAACAAATACTTCCCTCAACACTGTCAAACTATTCACTAAATCTGCATTACTTATTACTATTAATCTTCTCATCGTTCCTATCAGCCATCTCCTCCAACTTATGACTATATGACTGTAACTTGTTGCTGTATCCTTACGATTTATATTGATCGTTTCCTAGTATGATTTGACTGCTTATTTGTATCCTATGACTATCATTAAGTGTTGCACCTTATAATTCTTAACGAATGTATCTTTTCTTTTTATGTACACTGAGAGCATATGCACCAAAGACAAATTCCTCGTGTGTCTAATCACACTTGACCAATAAAGAATTCTAATCTAATCTAGGTGAGCCTAAAGTCAATAAATGCAGCATGCAGCGCAGAACAGGGTCTGACAGGGTGTTTCTCAACTGAATGCCACAGGATCATAGTTTGATGCAAGGAGAAACAACCTGCCCTAAAACCTGCTTGTCTCTCCAAGATACACTCAGATTTGTACCAGTCTTGTAATTACCCTTCTTGAAGCTTTGCATACATTTTGCTAATTATGCTCAGGAGACTGACAAAGAGATAATCAAAGCTTATCCATCCCCCATGGCAGCCAGAAAAGATTATATTTTCATATAATCCTCCCCCACCCCCATGAAAAAGAAAAGATGTTTGGAAGACAATTAATAATGGGGGAAAAACTATTAGTAGCTCAACAGAAAATCATGCGTTTAAAATTTACACACATAAACACAAAGATATCAGTGAAAAGTCTCTTTAGATTTCTTTTTGTCTGGTGGTGGTGGGGGAAGCACCTGCAAATCAGCCTCGGTTCTATTCTATGCATTAATAATATACCCCAAAGCATCTGCCTTTTTTCCCATCAATAAAAGTAACCATATCTCCTTTTTATTTCTGTAGGCATTGTTCTCCAGAGTCTAGCTGTTGATATGATTTCACATTTTATTATAGTTAATAATACAGAATGTATTCCATTCAATTTAGCTTCTAGGTGCAATCTACAAATATACATTATCTTTACAGAGCTATACCCTGTGTTAGCATTCACTGACACTTTGAGGACTTAAAACAGGGTTGGCAATTTTTTTTGGCCAGGGAAATAAGATATACCTGGTCAGCCAACTTACAGATGCAGGAGACAATCTAGTGACACTGCCGGAAGGGACAGGGTTTAAAAAGACAGGCCTTTTGTTAACAGGTTAGGCCCGTGATGGTGAACCTATGGCACATGTGCCACAGGTGACACACAGAGCCCTCTCTGCGGGCATGCCAGCTGTCGCCCCAGCCCAGCTCTACTGTGCATGTGCGCATGTCTCCTGCTGGCCACCTGGTCTTTGGGTCTTCGCACGGGAGCAGGGCGCATACGTGGGATGTACACGTGCATGCATGGGGGGCGCATGTGCGGGGGCACTCGCATTGCATTTTGGGGGCTTGCAGTTTTGGGCCTGGAAAGCCTCCTGCACCAACCTGGAAGCAAAAATGGGTAAGGGGGGATGGGGTGCATGCACGGAGGACATGCGTGGGGATGCATGCACAGGATGCACATGCATGTGCAGGGAGGCGCATGCATAGTGGGGTGCTCACATTGCAATTTGGGGTTTCTAGCACACGTGCACCAAAAAGGTTAACTCGGTTAGGCTGAGAGGAGAAGAATGGGAAGATTAACAGCAGCAATGGGGGCTGGTCTCCTTCAAGGGGGCTTGTACGGTACCCACATTATCACTTTTCATTTTAGGATCTTGACCTGAAAAAACCACATCACAAACATTTGGTTCTTTTGCTCCTAAATTGCTGCTGAATTCTGTAATCTCAATGGAGGGGGGGTCCCATTTGGCCTGGCGTGGGAGTTATATTGAGTTGCTTTGCCAGTCTGTAAATTTGATATTATAAATAAAATAAATAAAAAAACAGAGATGCTGAGAACAGTCTTCCACCTACCCCCAAGCCTGAAATGCCCAAAGCAAGGTGCCCATTAAGCCATTGGAAAGTTGAGAAAAATAAATACCAGATTTAAAGTGCCTTGCCTATGAAGGCCCTGCCCTTCAACTGTTGTCTCTAGTCTTCTCTAGCTAAGCTATGCCCAGTGTTTTGGAATCTTCTGCTGAGTTCAGCTTGGAGAGTTCAACACTGTGGGCCATTAGACTGTTCACCTCTGACAGAAGAGGGAAGAGGGAATGGCTTTAAGGACAGGAGAAAGAGCCACTACCAAGGCAGAAGTCAGACACAAGAGCCAAGCTTCTCCTAGTTCATAGGAAAATAAAGAGGGGGGGGGAGCACTTTCCAACTTGTAAGATTCTGTTACTATAATTTTACAATAAAGGTACTACTAACTTACATGGTATTGTTTTCCTAGTCTGGTCTATCCTGAAGGACTGGCACTGACTCAAGAGAAGTAGGAGAAGGGGATGCCATCACTCTGCTTAACAACTTTTTATTTATTTTATTTATTTGTTTGTTTCCATTTCTACAACTAATTCCCAAAACACTGTCAAATAATTTACTAAGACTGTATTACTATTATTCTTCTCTTCCTTACTAGTATCTATCGCTTCCCACATATTACTATAACCATGTTGCTTGTAACTTTCAATTATATTGTTTTTGTTTCCTAGTACGATTTGATAGCTTATTAGTAACCTTGACTATTACTAAGTGTTGTATCTTTTTATTCTTGATGAATGTATTTTATTCTCCTTATGTACATTGAGAGCATATACACCTGAGACAAATTCCTTGTGTGTCCAATCACACTTGGCCAATAAAAAATTCTATTCTATTCTATTCTATTCTATTCTATTCTATTCTATTCTATTCTATTCTATTCTATTCTATTCTAAATTAATGAATCATTTCCACCCATGCAGTTCCTATTAATTGCAGTAATCCATGAGAGCAAGTGACTAATCCAAAACCCAAACCACATGTATTTTATACTATATGGCTGTGATGGTGAACCTATGGCAGGCATGCCACAGGTGGCCCGTGGAGCCATATGAGTGGGCGAGTGTTGCCCTAGCTCAGCTCCAGCGCACATGCGCACACCGGCCAGCTGATTTTTGGGGCTTCCAGGCCCACCAGAAGTCAGAAAACAGGTGGTTTTTGGCCTCCGGAGGGTCTCTGGGGGGTGGGGGTGGGGAAAGCTGTTTTCTCCCTCTCCAGGCTCCAAGAAAGCCTCTGGAGCCTGGGGAGGGTGAAAAACAGGCCTACCGGGCCCACCAGGCCATCGCATGCCAAAAGTGGGGGAAGCGGGGTGGGGTGGGGTGGCGCACGCATGTGTGGGGTGGGTGGGCCACATTGAATTATGGGTGTGGGCATGTGCGTGCATGACCCCCTGCGCTCCCCCCACTTTTGGCACACAACGGCAAAAAGGTTAGCCATCACTGCTATATGGTATTTAACTGAACCTGTTCATCTTATAAAAAAGAAAAACCTCCAATGCTCAGACAACTCCTGGTAACTTTACTTACACATCACCTACTGTTCATAGCAAGGCTATATAAGAGGCTTGCTATTGCTTATCTTATCTAATGTTCTCTTAACTAAAGGAACGATTTACAGGGACTTTCCATCGATATAATTCTCTATGAGTCTATGTCAAACTTGAGATGATAATATTTAAATTTTTGATAATGATTTTTAAAATATATTTGTTCTTTTATTTGATTGTTGTACACTGCCCTAAGTCACTTCTTGTGAGATTGGGGGGTGGGCATAAAAATTTGGTAAATAAATAAGTATCCTAGAAGTGCTAAACCAATGAACAGTTGATATTATCTTTGAAGATTTCAAAATTATGCTAAATATTTAGATTTTAAAAGGACGTCAGGTAACCTGAGTAAGACCAGGATGTATTATAAATGTCAGAATTTTACCCATTTCATTAATAAAACCTGAAAATCTGGTTTTGTGGAGTTTATACGAAAGGACAAAAGATTGCAAAATTCAAAAATGTATACTTAACCCAGGCCAAATGACATTCAACCGGACAGAGTTGAATGAGAGTTTAAACTGTTGTGTTGCAACAATTTCACTTTAGGAATACATCGTTGCAAAATAATTCAACGATTATTGACTGTTTTTAAGAAACGGAACTTTGTTTCCGAAGTTTCCTGGATCCCAGGGGTTGACCCAGCCTGGGCTCGCAGATCAGAATGAACAAACCATAACTAGCCAAGTATTCCACGCTATACAGCCGGTTAATGGTTCTGGGTGTGACTGTGAACCCCAAATTCGGCTAATCGATTAAACAGCGATAGAACAGGATGGAAAAATGCATCGTGTGAATACTTGTGCTCTGAAAGCCAAACCCAAGATTTTATCATTCATCTTTCCAGGGATGGATGGAGGGAGAGAGAGAGAGAAAAAGAGAGAGAGAATGAAATCAGAAACAGTTTTAATATTATTGAGCAGGGCTCCAAAAACAAAGTACTTTAGGTACGCTCAGAAGCACTGCTTACAGATCCTCCTGAGACCGTACTTTTTACTCCCACTGAAGAAGGCACGGGAATTGATATGGATGCCTTCCAACAACAATCTCTCATTCCCGCAAGAGATTTTATTTATTTAATTATTTTGATATTTTGCGATCGTTATAAATGTTTAAGGCAGAGACAAGTCATGGAGAACGGAGCCAGAGACAGCCGATGGGCTCGCCTACCTATCCGGGCCGTTCGATCGATCAGAGGAAGGCTCTTTATGCTGGGTCAAGCCGATAGTCCATTCGCTCAGCGCTGTCCGTGCTCCCGGGCGCCCCTTCCAGCAGCTGCCGTCTTCCTTCGCCCTCCCGGTGATCGATCGGCTCCCCGCTCACAAGGGCGGGGCAGAAGGACATTTTACGCCCCTCCCCCCGGATTTGCATAGCGCGGCTCGGGTCTTCAGGGCTTAGAGGAGAGGTCTTCAAACTTGGCAACTTTAAGACCTGTGGACTTCAATTCCCAGAATTCTCCAGCCAGCTATACTGGCTGGAGAATTCTGGGAGTTGAAGTCCACAGGTCTTAAAGCTGCCAAGTTTGAATTTGGACCCGGTTCTTTTTCTTCCGCCCCAGGCCGAAGCCTTCCCAACCCTTCCGCTTCTCCCTGGATTGTTAGTCCCGGAGCCGAAAGAAATCAAACCCCAACCTCACATCCTCCCTGCCCTGAGCAGCTTAAAACAAACCAAACCAAAAAAAGTAATCCTCAGACATGACTTTTCCGCTAAAATCTTGCCCAACTGGTAACTTTTCAGCTGACTCAGTTCTTTAAAAAGGACCTATTTCTCCATGCTGTGGCTTTTGTAATTGGACACTTGGTTTGTCAACTTCCATCCGGTTGGTTCCTATTTTCTTTTAACTACTTGGCCTTCTCCAGGCTGGTGTCTTGCCGATGTCCTCAGTTTCCCATAATTCCCCCAGCCAAGCCTATCAACGAAATGGATTCTCATTCTCATTAGACCGTACTGAAAACAAAGCAAATAAATGCCTGCCAAATCAAATATTAAAAGTTCAGATTGAATTGGCTGAACCAGGAAAGGACGTTTAAGCCTTTCTTGGAAGAAGCGTCATTTTGTTCCAGAAAATAAAAATAACAAAAGAGTATCTGCGCTTATTTTTGTGGTAAAAGAGCCTTGGTGGCGCAGCAGACTAAAGTGCTGTTAAGATAACACCATCTGCCTGCAATTACTGCAAATTCAAATCTCACCAGGCTCAAGGTTGATTCAGCCTTCCATCCTTTCGAGGTAGGTAAAATGAGGACCCGGTTTGTGGGGGCAATAAGCTGACTTTGTATAAAAAAGAACACTGCTTGGGGGAGAGGTGAAAGCCCTACTAAGCAGGTTTATACAAAAGTATGAAGGCTAATTGCTTAACGCATTGTAAGCCGCCCTGAGTCTCCAGAGAAGGGTGGCATATAAATCGAACCAATAAATAAATAAATTATTTTTTTAATTTAAAAAAAAAGGAAAAAGAGGAAAGGGATTCAGTTGGAATGAAGCAAGTAAAATGAAAATAAATGAAAAGATTTAATTAACACATACGTAGAAAACTAATTAAATGTTTAATTGCAGATTGTTGCCTAGGGCATTTACCTATTTCTAATAAGAGAAACAAGATCTTTGAAAAAAAAAACATTTTGAAAAAAATATTTTTCTTCTGCTTCTCCTTTATTTAAATTTTCCTCTCCCCTCCCCCCCCCATGGTTAATTGTGAAATTGTAGAAAGATGCGAAATCCCAGTGTTCCTTACTCCAGCTCTTTCTGTCTTGTGAAATAAACTCCAGGCTAGCAAAAAGGGAAGACCTTTGGTAATCTGAATTTGCACATAGTCCAGTGTGTGCAACTGGCACTTGTAAAAGATGTGACTTACGTGACAAGAGATGAATCAACATGTGCACAATGTGCCTGCAAACTTCTGAGCATGCATGCAGCATGCAGTTTGGTGTGCTAAGAATGCAGCTTTTCTTCACAAGGGGGGTCAGTTCAGGGTGATTATTCCAGGGGTATCTGTCAGAGAACCATTGCAACACAATGGTTATAGTATTAGATTAGGATTGGGGCAGGAATATTCTCTAGCTGCTTTAGACTGTATTTGCCCTACATTAGAACCAAGCCCAAAATTCACATTTTCTGCTTACTCTGTCTGTAGAGATTCTCAGTCAGCCAGGTCATGATTGTCCCAAAGGTGCTTTTTTAGGTGGCAACTGGACTTTGTTTTTCCTTACTCTGTGTACTTGGACAAACCAACAAGGAATAGCTTTGCATGTTCAGAGTCTGGACATTGAATGCTCCAGTATTTCTCCTCCACATTGTTTGGAAAAGCTGAATGCCTTACATAAAAGGCAACCCGTGAACTCCAGTGAAGTACAGGTAGTCCTTGACTTATGACCACAATTGAGCCCAAACTTTCTGTTCTTAAATGAGATAGTTAAGTGAGTTTTGTCCCATTTTACAATCTTTCTTGCGAGAGTTACTAGTCGAATAACTGCAGTTGTTAAATTAGTGACACTGTTGTAAAGTGAATTTGGCTTCCCCATTGACTTTACTTGTCAGAAGGTTGCAAAAGGAGATCACATGAGCCTGGGACATTGCAACTGTCATAAATGAATCAGTTGCCAAGGATCTGAATTTTGTTCACATAGCCATGGGAATGCTGCAATAGTCATAAGTGCAAAAAATGGTCATAAGTCACTTTTTTCAGAGCCCTTGTAACTTCAAATGGTCACTAAACAAACTGTTGTAAATCGAGGACTACTGTAGTGAAGAAATATGCTGTAGACTAGCACTTGGTAGAGTGGTCATGAAGGCCTTGGAAAACATATTCAAATAAATATTCAAAATAATATGGGCAGTGCAATTTTCTGTGGCCCTATGAAAGTGAAAGTTGGATTTTGAAATAGCAGGATAGGAAAAGTATTGAGGCTTTTTTTGTAATCTCTTTATTAAATTTCAACATCAGACATTAAAATACAAGCTAACATAAAGGGAAAAGAATAACATCGAGGTCTTTGAAGTCTGATATTGGAGAAGGCTCCTGAGAATAGTGGACAGCCAAGCAAACAAGCAAACAAATCAACCTGGAATTCTCATTTGAAACACAAATGACCAAGCATAAAATATCATAGTTCAGACACGTTAAGTGAAGACTTAATTCTTTGGAGAATGTTCTTGCTCAGAAAAGTAAAGAAAAGAGAAGAGAATGACCAATAGGAACATGAATAAACTCGATTACATTGATGCTAAGTATATCACTGGAAAATCTGAAGCTGAAAACCCAGGTTAGGGACAGATTGTCTTGAAGAAAATCTATGTGATCACTAAAAGTTAACACTGACTTAATGCCACATAATAAAACAAATTGCCTTTATATAAAATAAAAATTAGGGAGTTTCTAAACCTCAAATACAAATTAGGGATTTAAACATAAGGGTCAGCATTTATCCCACTTTAATTCAGCTGATGAGTTCTCCATAAATAATTAGATTATTATTAAAAATAGCTCTTCAAAACAGATGCTTGCTATTTTTTCTTTTCCCACAATTATAGTAATCTTGTTACTAAATTTAGATTCTGAATTCTGAGAATTAATTTAGAAAAAATGTTTTCCTTCGATAGTGTATTCTTTCAATATCCATCATCAAGTTTTTAAAGTTTCAGTTATTTTTTTTAAGTGAATAAGTATCCTGGAATACATAAACAGATATATTCATACATGAGATTAATTTACTCATATGGTTTATTTATTAATTAGTTTGTTTTTAAATAATTCATATGACCACCCAACTCAAACATTGTGTCTGGGTGATGTACAATTGATCAAAAATAAAGCTAACAATCTATCAGAGCAGTGGACTAGTAGATGCTATGCAAATGTGAACATATTTGAACAGCATAAATGAGAAAGGAGGACTTTTGTGGAAATGTATGCTGTATTGCGGTGGTGGGTTTCAAAATTTTTTACTATCGGTTATGTGGGTGTGGCTTGGTGGCCGTGGCAGGGGAAGGATACTGTAAAATCTCCATTCTGTCCCCAATCCAGGGGAAGGTTACTGCAAAATCCCCATTTCCTCCTGATCAGCTGGGACTTGGGAGGAAGAGAATAGATGGGGGTAGGGCCAGTCAGAATTTTTACTACCAGTTCTCTGAACTACTCAAAATTTCTGCTACTGGTTCTCCAGAACTGGTCAGAACCCGCTGAAACCCACCTCTGCTATATTGAAGCATATTTTTCACAGCAATGATAAGTCTCTGGATATGACTTCGTTGGGTTGGCATCTTTTTCAGGAAGGTATAGAATTCACAAGGGATAAAATTGTCATGCTAAGGATTTTTTTCCTTCCATGTTTTGCTGGGGACTAATCCACAGCAACAAATAGCAAGGGTTTTTATTTGTTGCTTCTCTGGGGAATTTATTACATTTTGTAACATCTGAACAGAGGCTCCATCTCTTTTCTTCCCCTGTTCCAGTTGCCTCTTCTGTCTTATTGCAACCTCACCCAGTTGGTCCCTCTCTTCCTCTTTCCTTTTTTTCACTAGCAACCAGTATCCTTCCCCTTGGTCAAGGCTCTGCTTGCTTCCAAAATGTTGCGAAAGAATCTCAGAAGGGTGAGATCAGCATCAATAAAGCAACTTGGCTTGTTCAGGTTTCTATCTCAACATAAAAGTGTTGCTGCTTCCCAAACTGCATTAACCTTAATTTTTACTTAAAATCTGAAGTATTTTATCCAAATAATTTTCAAAATATGTACCTATTATCTTAGTATCCTATTTTTCTCTCTCTCTTTCTATTGGAAGGAGGAAAGGAAATCCATGTGTTTCTGTCTGTATGTGAAGGTGGCTTATCTACCGTATAGATGAGAATTATTAATTTTTTTAAATTATTAAAAAAAAATTGTAAGTAATTAATTTTAATCAGGAGGTATTAATTTTTTTAATATCCTGGTTCTACCCCTTGTTTTATTTTTGAGAATGTGTGGTCTAGAAAATGTTCATATACTCTATGCCCACCGCAGAGGATTTTTGTACATTTATAATTTTCTGCCTAAGCATCCTTTTTAGGAGGTGTCAATTGATATTAAGGATTGACTTTCTTTCAGCTAAATATGGTAGCAATCATTGTTGAAGCATATTTGCAAAGGCGAAGGTTGCCTATTCCCAACCTGTCAACTGAAACAGTCTAATTTGATTCTTGAAGACTTGTTCCTATCTACAGCATTCATCTCACCCACATTATTTCATGTTTTACACTGATAATTCTATGCTTTAAACTCATGTACACATCAGTTTGAATTTTAACCTCTGCCTTATATGACAGGTAGTAGATAGGCAGACAAATTCTAGTGATTTAGAATACCAATCAATATATTTAAGCTATGTTTAATGTCACAAATCAACACTATACAACTCTAGC